GTCGTAGTCGTCGTAGTCGTGGTAGTCGTAGTAGTCGTAGCAGCCGGTAGTCGTAGTAGTAGTCGTCGTCGTAGTAGTAGTAGTAGTAGCAGTAGCAGCAGCAGCAGTAGTAGTAGTAGCAGCAGCAGCAGAAGCAGAAGTCAAAGTAGTCACAACAGGACTGGAGTCGCATTCAATATTCCGTATCCTGTGCTTCAAGGTAAGGTCTTCAGGACATCTCTTCCCGCGCTGCCTCCCAAGCTCGCTGGTGGCAGCTCGGGTTCACCTGCGCAGCTTTGTCGAGGCTTGTGTCGCCTGATCGCGCTTCACATGTCACACAAAGAAGTGGCCGAAATCCCTCGAACCCACACTCGTCGTACTGCCTCTGCATCGGCTGTTCCTGGATCTCAACCTTCTGAGCGGGGGAGCATGCCTGCATTTGCGAACATCTTCGCCACGATGCCACCATTGCGGCGCAAGGTTGCGGGTGGCCCTGTTTCGACGACCCTGCCTGGGTCGAAAGTGGGGAAGGCATTTCGGATTTTGGGTTTGACCAGTTTAGGCCCCTTCTGTAACACTTCAGTTTTCTGTACTTGGAACGGAGAAGACGTGTTCGAAGTCGCTACTGCAATTATCGGCCTCAAGGCCTTGTGCTACACAGCTTTGCAATGCCCCTCGCCCTGTCGGCCCTATTGCTGGTCAACGTAGCCAGGCATCATGCCCCGGAGATCGCACAGAAAGGAAGCCTAAGCCCGACGTGCCGACATCAGCCCCCTGTGACTTCAAACCTACAAATCAAAGCACAGACCCCCAAACCCTGAAAACCTGAAAGCCAAAACGCAGTGGCCTCACTAGCTGCCATGGAGCCTTTGTCCATGCACACCAGTAGGTCGGCGTCAGCGATGGTCGACCTGACCGGATGATAGGAATCACACTGCTGCGTCTATCATGCAAAGATGAGATTTCATTAGCTTAGATTCGGCCAGGTATCAGTGCAGCACTAGTACAATGCTAGACTAATGCAGTATAGTATAGTTGCAAAAGTCGTAGTAGTGCAGCAATTTATAGTATTCATATACTAGTATCGTATTTTATGGCAGGGTACAGTATAGTACAACAGTGAAGTGTCGCGGAGAGTTGTGTAGTGTAGAGTAGTGTGGTGTAGGGTAGCATAGTGTCGTGTGGTGTGGCGTGGTGTAGTGTGGTGTAGTATAGCACAGCATAGCATAGCACAGCATGGTCAAGTACAGTGCGGCATGGTATAGTATAGTGCAGAGTAGTAGAGTTAAAGTATACTAATTATGGAATGGGATGGTACAGTTCAGTTGGTTCTATCAAAACGCACTTTGGCATGTGCTGCACCTCGAAGCTTCAACATCTTGTGGTGTTGGCTGAACCCGCCAGAGTAACAGCACCTGTAAGGGCCGCATATCATAGCAGAAAGCTGATAAGCAACTCTCAGCAACAGTATTGCGTCTTGTTCAGGCTTCTTTTTTTTAATAAATGCCGAGAGAGTCACAGCCGGTGCGCGATGATCAGCAGCGTGGAGCCAGTAAAGCAGGTCCTGAGCCTTGGTCTACCCCACGAACTTTTAGATCAGTCTTGGTATTATTTTGGTTAAGCCTAAATTTAAGTTAGTGATATCGATTCAGAGCTGTGGGGCTTTGTGTGAAAAGTCCGGGTTATGGGGCTGCTTGGATAAAACCCGTGTATGCCTTGTCTGAAGAAGTCGAGAAGAGAGCATGTTCTGTTAGAATCGGGCATTTGGAGGTGAATCTGTACTAAAATCAGATAGGGACTGAGCGGGATGAAATATGTTTCTCAAACATCACATTTCATTGCTGGCTAACAAACCTGTCACTCCGAAGCCTTTGCTTTGGGTTTTCGGGGTTTAGGGTCGGCGTTACAAGTTTGATTTGCTGCAAAAAAAACATGTCCGTCCAAATCCGTGCAGAACAGGATTGTTATTAGATCCTTGCCCTTGAGCTTCTATCTTGATCCACATCGCAGATGATGCAGAATCATTCGGGAGTGCGGCCTGACAGCTCTGTGCTCGGTTTGCAGTTTCGGACTCAGGGAGTTGTGAACCGTCCGGGATTCTTTCAGACCCCAAATCCAAACACCAAGGCCCTCAAGAAGGCCGCAAAATCGACTCGAATGGCCCGGGGACGTTTTCTGGAGCGTGGCATCCGTGAGCGCATCGATGTTAGCCGACGCCTCGTCCAGGAGCATCACGCGGGCCTTGCGAAGATCCAAAGGAGGGCCAAAAAGATTCCAGGTTTGCGCTCCTTGAAACCTATGGCCTACGGCTCACATGAAGAGCTGGGTTTGTCCTGCAAGGCTAGAGGATCGTCAGGCACAAGCAGCAGACCTTCCCAATCTCTATAGTAACCTTGTTGGCCCAAAAGTAAGCCAATAGTGACCGCTGTGGTAGGCTTATAGCAACTTTCGTATAATTGCACTCTTTCAATCCCTTGACAGCCCCGAAGCTCCTGACGCAGCAAAGAGCGGGCGAAGCAGAGCAGCTGGCGTTGGCCGACCTCGCTGAGGGTTTACTGCCAGTCACCCCTGTCGGCCAAGTGCAGGCTTTGGTGCACGGCCCCCTCGCTTAGGCTTGGGAAGGTCGCTGTATAACAAAGAACAGAGAGGGTGGGTCTGGCTTGCCCAGCTATGAGGTGGGTTGATGGCGTCGGATCGCATAATTACGATGCCTCAGGCGCCGTAGAATCTTGTGCCTCAAGGCTTTGAGACGACGTGTTACCTCAAGGAGCATGGCGAGGGGATCCGAGCTTTTGGAGCCCGAGCCTCTCGAGATCCACTTCTTAGCCCCTGCGCTGCGACGCTTGAAACTCTACTCATGCTAGGAGCCATGAGCCGCCACGAATAGATAATGCTGGCCCGACGGCACTAGTCCTCCTCCAGCTTGGGTTGATCTCACAAAGCCCAAAACTCTCTGGTGCTTACCAAAAAAAGCATGGGGTTTTGGGGTACGTCATAGTATGTTGCTATTATGAAGGAACGCAAAGGAACACATGGTAATTCTTCAGGCATTAACATTAGAAGCTGGTCCCAGTATGTGGCCACCGGTAGAAGGTTTCGGTTTTCGGCCACATTCCTGGCTGCGGGCCAGATACCCCCTCGAAATGAGCGGAATTATCCTTCATCATTGTGATCAGGAACATCATCAGCAAGACTATCTCATTCATCGCCATCCCCATCAGCGTCAGTAGCTATCACACCGTGCACGAAAAAGTATCACGGCCTTGCGCTCCCACTACCTCTGTGTTTCCGTTTCTAGCTTCAAGCCACAAGCCTTAGCCTCACCTGTAAATCCTAAGCCCTAAGAAAAGGCATCTCGGCTGACCAGGTGCATC